CACTATGCAGGCTACAAGCTACAACTAGCTACAACCTACAAGCTTAGTCTTGTAAAGTTGTAAGTTGTAACCCTATTAGTACTGTACCGTAAAATACCTATGATAACTTAGACCACTTTTTTCTTTATAAATGATGCTATTTTTTTACTAGCTAAATTAAACTTGAATTGAAACCTGCAAAATACAGTTCGGGTAAACGCGGTATATTCCGACACATTAAGGACGCATCGAGAAATGAGAAACTATAAAAAAATAACCGTATGTGTTACTCGAGTTCGGTTTGTTTTACGTGACTCTCAGTCTCAAAACACCTTACTACGTGCCAGCCACACTCAGGATGATGCATAGTGGCAAACCAGAGCTTTTTTGGAATCAGTTCATTTTTAATTTCCTCAAAAACTCATGATTTAAACCAATTTCTTAAGTATGATAATGCTAGTATCCATGATACTTTACTGGTCTACTTATAGGACTCAAGAATGAACTTGAGGGAGAGTCTAAAAAATTCTCTGCTTTGTCACTGTGGGATGATGTATGTTTTTGGTGAATTTTCCCGCGCATTTTCACCTTTTTTAAGCTATTGCTGTGCACAGTTGGCGCAATGTAATGAAAATTGATTATCAAATTTATTTACCACTTGAAATCAGCAAATACAAGTATACACAAAGGATTCCTAATATATTCACAGACGTATTTAAAAGTCTCAAACCATAATATTCCTTCTACACAAACAGTTTATTACTATTTGGTAGAGCAAGGTCAACTGTCAACTTTGACACATTTTTTGATGATCTCATTGGGTGGCATGCACCATCTCTCTTTGGATCTCAACATTTTCCCGCTAGATGGCCCAGACCTAGTGTTTTGGCAGTAGTTTCATGCGCAAATGTATGACGTCACTATTTCAACCATCAACAAACGCATGGAACTAAAACAAAGCGTAATATAAAGGAAAAACTAGAGGTGTCGGAATTACCCACGATGTCAGAATATACCGCATTTACCCTCTATACTCTAGCTTCACTCACCATAAATTGCTGGCTCCTGCCTCTCATAGTCTTTATGTAGTTTCAAAAAAAGTGACGGTTTTTGTTTCCCCAGTTCTTGAGATATCTTAGACCGGGTGATAAAATCAATTATATTTTTTGATAAAATAACTCCGAATAACTCCAGATTTTGGTGCATTGTAGTAGAACTCTTCTAGTTACATATGCAAATGACAAACTTGAGGAAAGTGTCATAGTTTGCAAATGGGGGGTGCTGCCCCATAATGGGGGAAATGTGACTACCTAATGGCAGCCCTGACGGGGTAAATATTGACATGCTTGGAAATTAAGTTAAAATTACCATATATAAGACTCTGTAGAGTCTGAAACATAAAGAAAAATCATGAATAGGCTGTCAAACATAAAATATGTTATATATGGTAATTTTATATTAACTTCCAAGCCGGTCTATGTTACCCCGTCAGGGCTGACATTAGGTGGGCCAAGTTCCCCCATTTGGGGGCGGCACCCACCATTTGCAAACTATGACACTTTCCTGAAATTTGTCATTTGCATATGTAACTAGAAGAGTTCTACTATAATGCATCAAAACCTGGAGTTATTTAACCAAAAAATAAAAAAAAATTGGAGGGGGTACTCTGACAGGCTTTAAATAATAGCTTTTTTTTTGTGGGTCACATTTTTAATTTTTTAACCTATTAGATTTGCAAACTTTTTAAATCTTTCTATTGTGTTATGTAGCCTCAGTATTAGGCTTTTAATGCCCAATGACAAAATTTTTCTGTGTCAAATAGTTTTTGAGTTTTGGAGGTTTTTGTTAAAAAAACGAAAAGTTGTCCAAGTTACCCCGCCGGTCTAAGTTACCCCATTTTACGGTATTAGCTTATGGAAGAAATGCTATATGCTGCTGCCTTGCTGATATGCCACTCAGCCACTGTGCAGAAAGTGGGTGAATATTGAAAGTTTGAAAGATATTTGGCTTTGGCTATGCCTCATTACCTCTCATGGTGCAATTAGATATTGATTTTGAATTATGTTGGTAATTTGGGTTTTAGGAACATCAAACTTAAATTAGAGGAGCAGATCATGCCTTGCAGAGGGAGAGGACTCAGAGGAGCAGATAACCAGACGGGAGTGACAGGACCGCAGACAAACTCCCAGCAACGCAGGGCTGGAAAAGTCCTATTTTTGTCTAAAATATTGTGGCTCTAATATCATATAATTTCAGTAGGTATGAAATCTTGTGGCTCAAATGTCATAAATTTTTGTTTGATTGAAAAATCGCGGTTTGCACTTCGCAAACATTGTCACTTCATAAAATTTTCAACTTCCACAATCCGCATTGCTTTACCGTTCCCTTCCCGCTAAAATATCCTGCAGAAAAAACATAAACATTGTAAATTCGTAATGTAAACAAATCAACTAAATGTTTTGTTGAAGATCGCGCATAGTTGCGGTCATGTCAAAGCAGTCAGACTGCATTAATACGTGCTCAACTTACAGTAAAGACAGAATTTTATCAGTGCCATTTGACTGTTTTAGGATAAAATTAGAGATTTGGGGTAACACATGCATGGACTTTGTAACTGAATTCGCGCCTTGTAAATGGCTTTTCATGGCCGCCTTGGCCGAGATATGGAATTCACGGCTCGGTGAAATGGAATCACGGCCCGAAGAAATGGAATGACAGCTGGCAAATCCATAAAACCACAGCTCGAAAAATTCAGTCGCGGCTCGCCAAGTAGATATATTCCATGCCTGCAGCAACGCTGACAGTTGAGATCACACTGCGGCAGTGCGGCTGCAAGATGACAGCTGCGCAATAAAAATTTCAAAACTAATGCTCACCGCAGTCGTGTCTGCGGTATAGCAATGCAAAATAGTCTTGAAGCATTAACAAAGTCATCACTTACTGTTGTAACGCAAAATGACTCTAATCGTCATGATCATTTATAAATTAATATAAGCAACATTCTTCCTTATTCAGACACAGACAATGGTATCATTGGTATGCAAAGCAAAACTTTCGCTAATAATAATTTTGACCTTAGTTACACATATTTCTTTGTAAATTTAATGCTCTTTGCTTTTAATTTGTTGATGTTATGTTGTCAGGTACAATGGCAAGCTGTATTCAATTACATACCTAGTCGAGAATGCATGCATTAGCATGATGTCAATAAATAGCTTTGTTTCTGATTGGCTTCTCATCTGTTTTGATTGACCTACTTACGCGTGTGAAGCAGGCTAAAAATTAACTTTCAAAAAAATTATGACAATGTGTGAAAAATTATAAGGTCAATACATAATTTAGTTGTTAATTGTCTCCCAGGGTGCAGAAGGTGGAAGCAGCATCACCAATATATGGGTTTTTAAGCCCAAAGCGTCCCCAACCATTTTCAAGATGCGTCGCTGGGTAAAAGCTATTTATACTGAGTAATGAAAAACTATTTACAAGCCACAAACTTATTTACAAGGATGCATGCACATGTTACCTCAAATAACTAATTTTACCCTAAAAACAGTCTGATTGTACAGCAAGTGTCAACTGAACATGTGATAATGCAGTCTGACTGCTCTATGACCACAACTACGGAATCATAAACTTGTTGTTTGCATTTTTTGGTGGTAACTCATTGCAACTGATTTCCGGACAAGCTTCACTGCATCCTTATCCATCCAACGTACCCGAAACCTTATGGTACTTTTTTCTAAATAGTTGGCCAAAGACTGACAAATATATGAAATGCAAAAATTTCATTCTAAATGTGTCGGCAAGATCTTCTGAAGGCGTAAATTTTGCTACTGAAGTGTCGCCAAAAATCTTGCAATATTCATCCACTATCTGCACAGTGGATTGTCTCCTGGTTGGTTTTAATTTGCCAAACTCATGGGTGTACAAGTGGTAAAAGTAACATTTAATATGCTAGGTAAATAACATCAAAGAGGAAAAAAAACATCCTAGATTTGATTAGGTCAAGATCAGTTTTAATTCAACAAATGTATGTGTGGAAAATTTGCAATGGAAATTTGTTTCAAAAGTGTTGATTTGGGCTATTAAAATTTACCAGAATTTTCACTAGCTCAGTTTTTGAAGTTCTTCAAACAAACCCCTAAATCACTGACTCACTGCTGTAATTGTGCTGATAAAATTTTTAAACAAGAAAATTAAAAAAGAATAAAAATTTGGAAGGAAAAAATCAGTTGAATTGCTTTATGAGTTTTTATTTTAACTAACAATGAGTTGTTAAGGTTATGTCATAAAATGAGTATCTATGTTTACATATAATAGTTTACTGTTTCCGTATGTGTCTGTTTCTGGACCCGGAGACGGAGCATGACTTACAGTGGTAGAGGGTTAAAGTGCTAATCTTTCTTGACTCTCCAGTTTCTTGAGTGGATTAATGAGTACCGACTAAACTAGTCTTCATTTGCAGAGCATAGTAAGTAATACTTATTCATAATTATTCCTGATTCATCTTATAAGTTATTGTGTTAATATCTGATTGGTCTGCTGGGGTCGCCAAGTGGTTGTGACTTGTGACATCACACTTGTTCAGTCGGAAGATGGCTTTGTGCTGTGCGCTGAATGATTTATGCTTGCAGTGCACCATTCTTAAAAAAACGTAGATTTAGCTCAGTTTGTTAATGGAAAACCTAGAAACATAGCTGAAGCAAAAAACCTCAATCTAGGGCTATAAACCTAGTAGTGCTGGCAACACTGCTACCACCATCCCTCTAGTACCCTCAAATTGGTGAAGCCAGGAGCAGTCTGGTCTGCATGCCAGAGTGCTGGGGCTAAATGCCCAAGTACTTCCTGCTTAATGTACACCAGAAGGATCAGGATGCAGTGAAGCTTGCCGGAAATCAGTTGCGATGTGTGCAAGTATTGCAGTGCGTGGATAGGAAGGGATATACCTACTATCAGAATTGCTTTGGGCTATAAAATCATATCTTGGCGATGCTGCTTGCACCCTCTGCACCCTGGCTGATATGAAGCTTGTAGTGGACAACCAGGACAAGGTGATTGTCAATGCCATAGAAGTTTTTTTGGGGAGGGTATTAAAAGTGTTAGGTATAGAATGGATAAATATAGTTTTTGTTAATGAAAAATGTATATATATAGTAATATTGTTGACAAAGGAGAAACAAGTACAAATCATGGAAAATGTTTTTTTATTTACATCTACATCATCTATAAATACTGACTAAACTGTAAATAAAACTAAACTAAATACTGACTAAACTAAAACTAAACTAAAACTAAATACTGACCAAATTACTGTTAGTAATGGATAAGTACACTCTGACTCTGCATCAGACTGCAGGCTTCAAGCGTTTTAAAATTGAGTTTTATTTCAAGTGTCCTGGTTTACCTGTTCCTCCCTTACCAGGGGTAATTTATGATGCTTTTTTTTTTTGCTTCCAGCCCTTACCATTAGCACATGGAATTTTTTCAGAGATATGAGGACAATAGTCCTAACAAAGACCTTTAAAATGAGCCCAAATTTGTTTATGAAATGTTTCATTTTTTCATGGTCAGAAAGTTATCAAAGAAAAATGAAAAAAAATGTCCCGTATTATCCCATTTGACAGTATATTTTAAAATTGGGTACGGTATACTTTAATATCTTCAAAATGTTTATATGTAGTACCTTCTTGCTCCCAAATTTATATTTTTTGCAGATTTTTATGTCTGCTTGTGCCAGGGTGCAGAGGGTGCAAGCAGTGTTGGCAAAATATAAATTTTTAGCCCAAAGAATCCATATTGTAGGACTGTAAAAGCTTCTTGAGATTGAACTGAGGTTATTTATTAATTTTAATATTTATTTCAAAGTTTGATAATCTTTATTCAAACTTGGGTAACCATTTAAAAAAATTCATCAGACTGACATCTGTTCTATTGACTGCAATTAGACTGCCTAGATGCTGAGAGATAAAAATGCTCCATGTATCAGTCTTTGCCACAAAAATGTACTACTTGTATAGAGTATGTTGATTAATTCCTCTATAGTAAAAAGATACCCAGACTAGGTCCCCTATGAGGCTATGAAACAGTCCACATTATTTCATCCTTACTCTCTGAAACTGAATCCTTGAAAGGTACTGCTTATGTATAATTTATGCTAAGTTGTATATATAAATGTCTAGTTGCATTTTATTTCTTATATCTATTATCTAATGCATTAATTACTCAAATAATATACCTATGCCCAGATTATTTTTTAATTGAACATGATATTTTCAGGCGCTGGAGTACCTCAATTCACTTCACTCACAACCAGACTCATGGCAGCCTTGTGCTGCTACTCTTTGCTCTGGAGGGGCTCAGCTTGATGACAAAATCAAATTTTTGTGCCTTCAGGTTAGTGATAATGAACATTGTGCTTCTGCTTCAGCCTGATGCATCTTCTCAGATTTAGTTTTAACAACTGGGAAATTACTGTCAGAGTATTGTGCTGAAGCAGGTCTCACTCAAACCAGCCTTGGTTTAGGTTCAGTATCAACATCTGATTTGCAGTCTGATTTTATCATTGAGAATGCACCTGACACTGTAATGGGTCGTCTTTATTGGTTAAGTGAGGGAAGGTATTCAAGGTTCTTTAAAAATCTAAAGGGTTAAATAAAAGATGGCCTCCCAACTCCCCTTATAGCCATCCCTGTCCACCAGGTGTTTTTTCTCTTTTTGTTCAACTTTATTTAATTCTAATACAAGATTTAATTATTAAGGAACTTGAAATTTAAACAAGATAGGGAACCCTAAATCAAAAACCTAGCCAAATAACCGGGTAACTGGAAAACTGTTAACTGAATACTCAAATAACCATTTAACTCCAAAACCAGACAACCAGCAACCGTACAACTAGGCAACCAGGCAAACGGACAGACATGGCATGGGTCGCTTATGAAGTACTTGAAGATGCTTCTGTAAAATATTTACATTATCAATACCTAACACAACTATTATTTAACACAACATCAATACAAACTTCAAAACACATATACACAATAAACTATCAAGCAGGAAAACATAAATATATTTCTCATCTATAACGATATTCTCAAAAACACGACATTAAAATCTTTACCACTGAATATATGAGCAGTGAGTTAAGAAAGGTACCTATATCTTGGCAACTACTACTCACCAACCACAGGCAGTAGTGTGAGTACAATATGATGGTGGATAGGAGATTTGGAACTTTAATCAATTACCACTGACACATAAAATAATGGTCTGCAAAAAGGGCAAAGAGAATTAGATGGAGAGCACTGATAACATAAATAGTATAGATAATGTTCACCATGAATTTCAGGATTTTAAATAATTTCATATTAACTCGGAACTGGGGGAGCGTTACTTCCCCAAGTGGGATAAAGGTAACCACCACTCTCCAGCAGTAAGAGTGACAGCCCATAACAACACAATAGTCACTGCATTCATAACCTATAACACTTGGGTACCAATTTGTCTGGATGTCTTTTCAGTGACACAAGAGACAAGTTTTAGTTAAAGAAAATTTAAAAGCTAATTACAGTTTAATTAAAGGTCCAAATTGGTTTAAAAGGGTAAGAAAAGAGTGGCGACTCTAAATTAGTAATTATTAAAATAAGGTACAGCAAGGTATTAATGCAGGAGTATATAGGGTGGCTAGAGTAACACATTTGCAACTGAACAAGTGAGAGGTGGAGCCGTCTTTAACCTAAGTGGATGCCTATGGCATGGTTAATATAAGATTGGACTCAAGGATGCTTGAGTCAATTATGGTATATCAACTCACTACTATGACATGACAGAAGATGGTCTGGGTGATGCTGCTGAAGGAATGGATGGTGAAATAAAACTTAATGTTACTCTACCACCCAACACTAGAATATGGTTGTCTTGTGAGCATTCATGACATCCACTATTATCATTTATATGACATGATAGAGGCTGGTCCTTTGTCACTCTTCTCACTGATATATTATTTCGGATAAATTTCTCCTGCTGATTGTCTAAAATTTCTGGCAGAAATTGAATAAGTAACTTGTAAAGCATCTAAATTTGTTGACATAAAACTTTTATACTTAATATTCTCAAATGCCTGAAATTTTTGTGTCCTGATTTGGCTACTTTAGTTTGGAGGCTGGAAAATCCACCAGTCAAATGATGTGTACATTTTTCTCAGGTATTAGAAAATTATATAAAGAAATTTTACAAGAATGCCGACACTGAAGCCCAATCTCTCCTGCGCCAGCATCTCTCTCAATGGATGTCCACAATCTGCTCACAGTCTCCTGAACAACAAGAAAAAGCATGTATTCTATTTATACCTACTCATCACCTTGCTGTCCTATATTCTTAACAATCTTTTACTTCAAAAGATACTTCATAAGTTAATCTTTATTTAGTCTTGCTGATGTAACTAAAAATTTGTAACAATTAAACATGAGTAATTTACAAAGTTACTACTCAATACATACTTACCCATACTTAAATACATTACTTATTGCTCAGGTATTTATCCGCAACAAGACTGCTCAAGTTCTAGCTCTTGTTTTTGTTGTGGACTACGATGTGCGGTGGCCAACATACATCAATGATCTACTTGCCTTACTGCAGCTTGGCCCCCAAGCTGCTGACTTATATTTGAAAATACTTCAAGCCATAGACTCAGAGGTGAGACTCTTAATGCAGCCTGCAGCTGGTGATAACTACATTAGTTTCTGTGCTATGTCTGCTTCTTATATTCTAGCTACTATATGCCTCTAGATTATTATCCTCATCCTTATACATATTACAGATGCTAATGTCAGTAATGTGCAAACCTTTTCTGAAAGTTATTTTCAAATTTTCAACTTGATGTAGCATTTGTAGTTTGAACAATAAGGGCACTACCTGTATTTCTGTTTTTCCCTAAATCTTGAAACAAGCAAACCTTTTCTGTGATAATCCTGATGTTTGTTGTTGCAACTTGGTGTGTTGAGGTGGTGGACAGAGACACTCTGCTGAGCCAGGATGTTATGGAGCACGGCAACTTGCTCAAGGATCGCATGAGAGAACGAGTTGTGGCTGACATGGCCAACTCTTGGTATGATATTCTGGTGAGTTCACTTCAAGTAGAATGCAGGGACAACATCTCAAAGCGTCATTGATAAAGATCTAGGAAATAGATTGCCAATACTAATTATTGATGCGACAAATTCTTTTTAATTGTACAATTGAGTATTTGATATTCTCATCATTTTAAAGTGACTGGAATTTTACCTATAAGTTGTATAAAAATGATTTATGAAATACTTTGGCTAGCCGTCATTATTTTTAAATTTCATTTATGACTGACCAAAACAAACAGCTTAAATTTGATTGAAGAGCCTCGAACCATTTTTCATTTTACACTCAACAACAATTTGTTTGTACAGGTAAAATATGAGAGGAGCAATCCTGAAATTGTCTGCCAATGCCACGAGGTGATTGGCTCTTACATCTCCTGGATTGACATATCACTCATTGCCAACGAGAGGTTAGTCCATCATAGTATGCCTCATTGCACCTCTACTACACATTAAACACATCACAAGAATGATGAGGGCTTAATTGGATTAACTCTACTTTGAAAACAGCTCAGCTAATTTGACTCTATAAAACTAATTTCTAGTAGAGTGAAAAATATAAGTCACAATATCTTCGAGCTCGTAATTATCATGCTTTTTAATTGTGCTTCTGACTTGCTGCTATATGATGATGAATAAGAATATATTTATTATCTGTGCAGATTTGTAAGCGTGTTGGTGCGGCACATGCAGGACCCGCTGCTACGAGAGGCTGCCGCTGAGTGCCTGCTGGAGATCATCACGAAGGGCATGGATCCCATCACTAAAATGAACCTCATTGAGTCCCTGTGTGTCGTGTTGGACCAGGCTGGTCTTCTCAAACCTATTGATGTAAGCATGACTCCTCGTAGTTGCTTCATTACTTAGAGCTTCTCTGTGTTGTGTTATACACAAGCTAATGGTCTTGCCTCAGCTTATAAGGGATCTGCTCGATGCTTTTGTAAAAAATTGAGTTTGCCAACAACTTGATGAATCCCAGACAACTGGTAGGTATATTTGCAGTTGATGTGGTTTGTTTGCTATTTTTGCGTCAGTCACAAAGATTATTAAGTGTATTATTTACTCAAAAAAGTGGTTCCCTTTAGTGAGTGTTTACCTTATCACATATTTGACTCGTTACATCTGTTCTTCGTCTAGGACGATGAATCAGATTTTCTGGTAAAGCTGGCAAAGCTCGTGAACGGCATTGGCTGCCAACTCATCCTGGCCTGGCATAAGTAAGTATACAATTACGGTGATTGTAAATTAACATGGAACATCACTGCATTTTAACCAATGCTTTAATCTAATTGGATAATGTAGCTTAGAAGTTTTGTTCACACAAACATCGATACTCGAAATAAACATAATAGAATAATGATCGAATCATTGATTCCAATTTCAGTTGAACAACCCCCCCCAGGATATCAATCTGCTTTTCTCTAATTAATTTAATTTGATTCTGGCACCCCCGTGACTGGCAGTACCTGACGTTGCAGCGTGTCAATCCTCTGACACTTGCTTGGTTTAAGGCCATACTTGAGCTGCTGGTGTTCACCATCACTTCTGGTGTTCCCTATTAATGCAGTGTTACCTCGTCCTTCAACTTTTCACTGTTAGTGTTGAATAATTTCGAGACTCTTCAATAATTTTACGACACCGTGGCAGGCTTGACAAGAAGGACGCTGCTGGCCGTGACGCCGTGCGCACGGCGATCGAGAACAAGAGCGTCCTGCTGCTGCAGTTCTTCGCCAGCGAGTACGACGACGTCTCCGCCGCGGTCTTCGACTTCTCGCGAGCGTATATACAAGTATGTGCTGCAATGTCTATTCCTTGACGTATTTTGTTGTTGTAACATTGCTTTAGATATATATGCATTTTGTTACTAGAGACAACCGCGTAAAATGAACATGGCCAGTCATGAATTGGATGTCTGACATGACGCGCCGAATAGCATCGGGTGAGAAAAGCGTACCGTAGGTAATCAATCATCGTAGATAGCACATAATGTAGGTATATTTTCTCTGAAGTATATCAAGTATTTAACATTTCTGTAAATTTTGCTGTTCTCTAGTTTTTCATCTATTATTTTTGAAAGCCACTGAAGTGCAAAATTTTATCTCGGAAAAAACAAAGTAATGTAACCTGTCCCAAAATTCTTTATTCAAATTTGACTTCCAATATTAGTGCTAGTGCGATAGATTCATGAATATGTTTCTGCTTGGTTTTCTTTCAAGGTTTTATTTTTAATCTTGATGGTAGATATATGTTAACCAGACCTAACCCAGTCTTATATTCATTAATGAATTAATTGTGAATAAATAATTTGTTGAAGGAGCGTCTCTATTATTTTAAGCCCAGTGCATCCATCTTTAGGAATATTATCAAACGTATCACTACGATCAAAGTGATGCTTGCAGGCCACCACATATCATGGTAGGCATGCGTCTTTGTTGCCTACATTGATGATCTTGGAGAAAATTGACTCGCACTTACAAAGTTTGTAAAACATTTTTTTTAACTACAGTTTTGAAGAAATTGAAGAAGAACAAATCTACATGCCTTTTTTTTTTTTGTAGCACACGTCTGATCGACAGTAAGCATGCTGAACCCCTTGCGAAATTTCTCTCTAGCGATGAAAATAGCTGATATGTCTACATTAGAAGTATGGAAAATAATCCTCTTCAACCCCTACACCATTAAACACTACCTACCAGTTCTGGCACTGCTCAACAGATGGTGAAGCAAATCGGTCATGTGAGCGAAGTTGACAAAGGGCGCTTGGAGAATCTCCTCTTCATTATCATCAACAAGACCAAGTATGACGATGGCTACAACTTCGACCAGGAGGGAGAGGACGAGGCGATGTTTGACGAGTACAGGAAGAGTCTTAAAGTTGTCTTCGACAACCTAGCTGTGCTCGTGCCTGACTTGGTCCTGAAGGTAAATTTGCTCACGCAAGTAAGAATTTAAAAGCAAAGAATATTCCACAAAAATTCATATCTTTATAGAAAATGTTGCTCACGCAAGGTTGTGGTCAACCTTCAGACTGCACTAGTTGTGCTTGATTGATTGTTGCAGGCAAATTTTATTCACTCTGATTCAATAATAACCTACAAAAAAATTGTTCCATAGTTAGAGCATGGCTGAGGATGTCACCTAATATTAAATTAGTTACATCTACCTTATGAACTTGTTATTTTCGAGAATGTAATGATCAAGAGAATGTAAAAGCTGGCGCCAAGTTTGATGAAAGCACCCAAATTCTACTTCTTAATGGTAGCTTAGGGTTCTAGAGCAAACAAGAAGTTACAGTAGTGGACGTCAATAAATTTTCATACAATTAATTGTATTAGAATTCTCATAGATTCCATCATAGAATTCTCTTACTTCCAAGAGAACTGAGAATAATCATATGCAACATCGTGTTGCACTTGCACATGATTAGCTAAGATGGCAAACTATATATTTCATTATCGTGTGCGGTATTTGCTGGAACGGAAAGAATCCAATGAGTTTGTTTTGCAATTTACGAGTCACGTTCATCTGTCAAGTTACAAATAACGGATAATGTGCAGGTGTGCCGTGACTACGTGATGACGACGCTGGGACGGTGGCAGGCCACGTCGTGGCAGGAGAGCGAGGCGTGCGTGGCGCTGCTGTACAGCTGTCTCTTATACACATCTAGATGTGTATAAGAGACAGCCTCTGAACCTAGCGCCTCGCTCACAGCCGAGGACAGAAGCGCCCTCATGAGCCAGCTCCTAACCCCCCTCCTAGAGGTGGTCCAGCAGCTGGCTCGTGTCATGGCCCAGAACACTAATCCCATTCAAAAGGTGACTCACGTGCACGCAATTGAGCTCCGTCTATTGTTAAAAGTGGCAAATTTATCTTCGTATTTGCTGTGTTATTAGCCCGTTAGTTTCCAATCATCTACCTATTCGGATAAACTAGTTTTCTTTTGTTATTTGGTTCTTTGATTATTTGAACTGCATTCCATCTCCCACCACTCGGACCACCACTGGGCAGGGTGGCCCAGTGTTGGGCAGGGTGGCCCAGTGTTGGGCAGGGTGGCCCAGTGGTTAAAGTTCAGAGTACCAAGATTGGCGCAGATAGGCGCGGGTTCGCTCCCAGCTCTGTGCGCCAGTTTCTGGTCAGAATCGGCAAGGAGGTCGGGCGGTTAAGCATAGCAGAATTATAGCAGTGAGTTGCGAGTTCGAGACCGCAAAATGATGTGAATGTTCTGCGATGTTAAGAATCGGCGACAGGCCTACGGCCTAATAACGCTGAAACCACTATTACTATTATCTAATCTCATGACAACGGTTGTTTATTATCGTTTGTGGATATTAGTTGATAGATTCTATTTAATCATTACGATAGTAGTATTTGATGTTCGTCTAATAATTTCTTCCCTTCTTTTGTTCATATTATTTTGAATTAGTAACTGATGTACTTGCATTTTCGATTTACTTTTCTGCTTGGGGCTTGAATAGCAAGCCATTTATATAACTATACATAATTTAAATCACTTTTCCTGTTAAGTTTGTGTACTTACATTAAAATACGATTTTTCAAGTGTACGAATATTTATTTCCCCCACTGTAGTAATATCATTGACAAAGGAGAAACAAGTACAAATCACAGAAAATGTTTTTTATTTACATCTACATCATCTATAAATACTGACTAAACTAAACTAAAACTAAATACTGACTAAATTACTGTTAGTAATGGATAAGTACACTCTGACTCTGCATCAGACTGCATGCTTCAAGCATTTTAAAATTGAGTTTTATTTCAAGTGTCCTGAATTACCTGTTCCTTCCTTACCAGGGGTAATTCATGATGCTTTTTTTTCTTCCAGCTCTTTGCCATTAGCACATGGAATTTTTTCAGAGATATGAGGACAATAGTCCTCACAAAGACCTTTAAAATGAGCCCAAATTTGTTTATGAAATGTTTCATTTTTTCATGGTCAGAAAGTTATCAAAGAAAAATTAAAAAAATTGTCCCGTATTATCCCATTTGACAGTATATTTTAAAATTGGGTACGGTATACTTTAATATCTTCAAAATGTTTATATGTAGTACCTTCTTGCTCCCAAATTTATATTTTTTGCAGATTTTTATGTCTGCTTGTGCCAGGGTGCAGAGGGTGCAAGCAGTGTTGGCAAAATATAAATTTTTAGCCCAAAAACGTTGCCAGCCATTTTCAAGATCTGTTGCTGGGTAATTTTAATAAGAAAATGCTGCTAACAACTTTGATAGTATATCCCTTACTCTCCGCACACTGCAACACATATAACTTGGCAGCTATCTGGCAGCCAGATGCGTGGCGCTATCGAGTCTTGAGAGAGTGGCTAAGTAGAGTGAGGCTCGACATGATTCTGCTGCCCACTCCGCCAAGAGATGGCGCTGTGCTCATATCAACAAAGCTATTGTGAACCCTATGTCCTAGCAACCATTGCTTAGTTCTAGAATTATTATTTTTCTTGTTATTCACTGCATGCGCCACTTGCGGTTTCAGATTTTCAACTATTTTGTAAATAGTTGGCCAAAGACTTGCAAATATCTAGAATGCAATAATTTCCATCCAAATGTGTCGGCAAGATCTTCTGAAGGTGTAAATTTTGCTGCTGATGCATTGCCAAAGATCTTGCGATATTCACCCACTATCTGCACAGTGGTGCTTGTGTCAAGTGTCAAGGTTAGCCAACTTATAGTGAGAAAATTACTTGAATTGATAATCAACTGGCATCTCTTTCACAGCTTCATGACANATAAATAATATAAATTCTATAATATTATTGCGCATCTTTGAAGTTGGTGTACAGGATTGTTGTTTCAATTAAGAACAAGACTATGCTTTTGCCCTGCTGTGGTAGGGAAGATAATGCACAAAGCTCTCAAGTTCGTCTTTTAGGATTGAATTATTTTGTATACGTAGTTATCTGGAAGGAATTAAATTATTTGTTAATGCAAGTGCATCTACAGAACTGTAGTAGCCGTTATTGCTTAAGATGACATTGATAATTTTGTTGCGATGCCAACATGGCTTGGCTATTGGCTGAGGCTTGGCACCTGGCACCATAACAGGTCTGTGTGGACACCTCGCATCATAACAGGTCTGTGTGGGCACCTCTCATCATAACAGGTCTGTGTGGGCACCTCGCATCATAACAGGTCTGTGTGGGCACCTGGCATCATAACAGGTCTGTGTGGGCACCTCGCATCATAACAGGTCTGTGTGGGCACCTCGTATCATAACAGGTCTGTGTGGGCACCTCGTATCATAAAGATTGTGTTTAACCTTCAGACTACACTAGTTGTGCTTCATTGGATCACTCTTTTATTCAATAATAACCTACACAAAATGATATTGGATCACTACACTAGTTGTGCTTCATTGGATCACACTTTATTCAATAATAACCCACACAAAATTGTTCCATAGTTGGAGCACGGGTGAGGATGCCACCTAATATTAAAGTAGTAACTTCTACCTTGTAAACTTGTTATTTTCGAGAGCGTAATGATCAAGAGAATGTAAAAGCTGGCGTTAAGTTTGATGAAAACCCACAAATTCTACTTCTATGTGGTACTTCAGGGTTCTAGAGCAAACAAGAGGTTACAGTAGTGGACTTCAATAAATTTTCATACAATTGTATTAGAATCCTCTTAGTTCCAAGAGAATTGAATCATTTGCAACATTGTGTTGCATATGATTAGCTAAAATAGCAAACTATATATTTCATTATCGTGTGCTGCGTTTGCTGGAACGGAAAGAATCCAACGAGTTTGTTTTGCAAATTACGAGTCACGTTCATCTGTCAGGTTACTAGTACGGATAATGTGCAGGTGTGCCGCGACTACGTGATGACGACGCTGGGACGGTGGCAGGCCACGTCGTGGCAGGAGAGCGAGGCGTGCGTGGCGCTGCTGTACAGTTTGGGCGAGGCGGTGCCGGCGCATCACGGCAACCACTTCACGGGGCCCTTCCAGGTCTTCTGGCTTCACTCACCTTATCATAATATTCTCTTGATTTTATTTGTTTTCGAAAATACGGTCATGAATAAGCTATGCTGGGTGACTCTTGTGCTTTTTTCTATTCTCCGTTACTAAAGTAGATGTTTTTAACATATATTCAACTGATATGATGTGGAAACCAACATAACCGAAAAATTTTTGGTTCCCTTTTTGTCTGTGATCAACAATAATTAGAGAGCAAACTTTTTCATAAATGCTCCTATGTACTTCCAATTTACTAATATTTGAATTTTGATTCCATTTTTATTTGCAAAAGACACTGTCAATTGTTGAATTTTTTTATATAAACGGATCATCTACATCTGATCTTGCATTCAATGCTTTGCAGTAAAGTGATGGAGAATAGAAGTTGTGTGTAGGTTAATGACCTATGTGCGGAGTGTATGAATTTTATAAGAAGAGAAGTTGTGTATAGCTTAGTGAATTTAGTGTCGTGTGTTTGCATTTTCTGCTTGAGGGAAGTTATAAATGAGTTACTGTAAAATAGTTCATGCCAATAAGTTACTGGCGCGTGTTTCAGATGAAGAGCGCAGCAATGTGCGACATGGTGCGGCTGCTTGTGTTGTGCGGCATCAGCAGCCACTCGCACCCCGCCGTGGCCATCCAGTTCTTTGAGTGCATCGCGCGCTACGAGAAGTTCTTTGTTGTTGAGCCCCAGCACATCTCCCCCGTGCTGGAGGCTTTCCTCGACCACAGGGGCATGAGGAACCCTTCCCCTAAGGTAACTTCTTCTTCAAGCAAACATTAAAATATAGAAGTGTTTAATGGCTGAAGATTCAGAGCATAAAACGCATACAAAGTTCCATTTCAGCTGGCATATAATGAAATCTTATTGTGATATATTCTCAAAAATAGTATTTCCAGGAAGTAAATTATCTTTATTGGTGACTTATTCTGCGCCACAAAATATATATTTCTATTGGTTGTAGTGCTCCTGCATTTATGAATTAATTTTTATGTTTATCTGTGTCCACTGAAGAATGCTTAACTGTTTAGCAACCAAAGAAACCTACGATGACGATATTGAACATTTTTATTCAAAACATTGCCTTCATCATCTGATTCCTCATCCATTATCTCTTGTACCTTCATTCTAAATGACTATATCCACGGTTCTCTGGTGTTGAAAAACTCAGGTTCGGAGTCGCTGCAGTTACTTGTTCCTTCGCTTCGTGCGCTGCCTCAAATACCAGCTCGTGCCGTACGCCAGCAAGATCCTCACACAACTGCAGCCCATGCTCACCATCTCTGACGTCCCTTATTCCATCAGTCAGTCCAGATGCATGGATATGTGCTTGCATTCCATCTAATCTTATCCAGTACATCTGAACATTCTTTGAATTACAGTTCAATATAATTTAAAGTTTGTTTACCGAGTCATTTTCCTTTATTGATGATTGGATACCATTACCATTTATAACTGTTTCTTATGGTTTTGATAGTGTTGTTGTGCGTTTACCTATTTAAGTGTACTTGTTCATTCAGGAAGCTTCTTGAATATGTATAAAAAATTTGAAAAAAGTATGAATTAGTCTAATAATTCTACTTCATTGCAGACTCATCGGTGCTGCTGAGCCCGGACGACCAAGTCTATGTATATGAGGCCTCCGCCCTGCTGGTGGTTGGGTGTGGTGGGGGCGGCTCCTCTGAACCCAGCGCCTCGCTAACAGCCGAGGACAGAAGCGCCCTCATGAGCCAGCTCCTCACCCCCCTCCTGGAGGTGGTCCAGCAGCTGGCTCGTGTCATGGCCCAGAACACTAATCCCATTCAAAAGGTGACTCGCGTGCACGCACTTGAGCTCCGTCTGTCGTCAACAATAGCAAATATTTCCTCGTATTTGCTGTGCTGTTAGCCCGTTAGTTTCCAATTATCTAACTATACGGATAAATTGTTTTTTTTTTTTTTTTGTTCTATGACTATTTGAACTGCAGATTCGGTCATGAAAACGGTCGTTTATTATTGTTTGTGAATATTAGTTGATAGATTCGATTTAATTATAACGGTAGTAGTACTTATTCGTTCGTCTAATAGTTGCTTCCATTCTTTTGTTCATATTATTTTGAATTAGTAACTGATGTACTTGCATTTTCGATTTACTATTCTGCTTGGAGCTTGAATAGCAATCCATTTATATATTCCTATGATATTCTTTAACCGGAAATAAGTTGAAGTCTGAATATTGCTGTGGTTGTACGTTTGTCATAAATCTTGTTCAAGATCACTACTAGAATGTTCTCATTGTTCAAGTCTTCAATCTTCTCTGAGAATATTAAATTATCATCCAAGAGTTTGTCAGTGTGTGCGTGTCCTTCTTATGTGTAAGTCTTTTAATTTTGTAACTTTCCCTAGATAGCTTTAATGTATGAGAACAATTTTTGTCGAAGTGGGCGACGCGGTTGAACTAGTATCCTACTTATCATTATTCAAAATATCAATTGTATTACATATACTGCTATATGTTTTCTTCTCAACTTCGACATTAAGTCCTCATTTCATGTTGGTGCAGAGCGCCACGGCGACGATCATCTGCCACTGCATGGCACTCACAGCGCGCACGTCGAAGGCGTTCAGCCAGCAGAGCACCATGAGCTCGTGCCAGTGCGTGCATCTCTACGTCCATGCTGCAAAGCTCTTCATTGAGTGCGTCAACGTGAGTATTTACTTCTCCAAGTATACGAGGCTTGTTTTTATATTGAATTCTTGCAGGACTGAAGTGAGCTAACGCTGCGCATTGAGGTCCAAGAATGGCCACCACTCACCACAGTGGTTGGTCGGAGACTCGGAGGTACTAATGCTGTCTGCTGACAAATTCCCGACTCTCCCATAGAAGATGCCTTATTCTGTAGGAATTGGCTTGGTAACGTATGCAGTGGTAATGTGTGTCATAAACAATACTTTTTACTCGTATTGCGAGCGATGCCTGCTACTGCGACGGCGGGTTTTGCATAAATTTTCGATCTGGGTAAGCAATATTACGGTTTTTCTCCTCAGTTCAATTCGTTGTATAGGTTTTTAAGGACATCTTAGGCTAGTTGATTGTGTTATGCGCTTGTTTGAGTATATTGTATTTTGCTGGTCTGGGCTGGAGAAGAGTACCTCATTATTGTGGAGGAGCATCTTGAGTACCGGTTTGTTCGCAAGTGTCGCTGCCTGCAATGAACAACCAAAAATTATTGCCAATAAATTGCTCCTAGTGAATTGCTTCAACTCTATACAGGCAATTTAGAGCATATTCAAGTGGACATAACATGTTGAAGCTATCGTTTGCCCCAGCTTGACGTGGAGCGGGAAACAATAAGCCTGGGGTTACGGCAGCTTCTGCATCGCCTCGTCGTGTGTCTCGACAGCGCCGACCTGCTGCCCCTCATGCCCGCCGCTGCCCAGGCGCTGCTGCACACCTCCTCAGTGCACTCACTCACCGAGTTCCTGCCTCTCATCAACCAACTCATGACCAAGTTCAAGGTACCATAACTCCTCCTGTTTTGCTCCAATAAAACGCCGATAAAAATATTATTTATCGGGCATATTAATCATTGTTCCGTATTATGTCATTGATAGTCGCTCCAGTTTCCTCTATCAAGATGAAATTACCCAAATTATATATACTTACTGGTGAATTTCTATGTGAAGCTTCAAGCTCGATGAAATAAGATCAGATCCGACGATAAGTTCTGCTCGCCATTTCTGGCATTTAATTATCAATATTTATTGCGCGTGCAGAAGGAGTGCAGCTCGTTCGTAGAGAACGTGCTGACTCCGCTGATCTGCGCGATCATCGGCGCCGTGGACGTGACGGACGCGAGCGACGAGGAGGAGGCACGCCAGAAACGCACGCTACTGCGCGGCTACTACGTCTTCCTCAGCACCGTCGTCTCGTCAGGGCTCCTGCCCTTACTGGCGTCTCTTGCTGCCCGCCTGCTGGACCAGGTGCAGACGTGGTTCTTCTGGCTGGTGCACACCTTTTGTGGGGCTGGTGCATGCTTGGTTCTTTTGTGGGGCTGGTGCACACCTTTTGTGGGGCTGGTGCACAAGGCTGGTGCATACTTGGTTCTTTTGTGGGGCTGGTGCATGCTTGGTTCTTTTGTGGGGCTGGTGCATGCTTGGTTCTTTTGTGGGGCTGGTGCATGCTTGGTTTTTTTGTGAGGCTAGTGCTGCATTAAAACAGATACCTGGTTCTTCTGCTTCCCTTCACTGTAACGCTGCTGCACACATGCTTCACTGTCACGCTGGTTCACACATCTAATAACTTAAGTATACAGGGAAAATGTTTCTCGCGTTCTTAGACTATTGGTTGTCCTTTGTTCTATCCTAAAAAAAATCTTCATTCAAAATTAAGCCTTCCTGATGTCACGTTATCTTTTCGTACCTTCTAATACGTTTCTTAAGATTAGACGCACTTGGATATGGGGTCTGAAATTAATAATATGAAGCTCTGCTTATCTACAAAGAACATGAAAGGTAATATAAGTTAACTCAATCATATGCCCTCTGATGACTGATGTGGGTTTCAGGTGCTGCTGTCAGTGGTGCACGGAGCTGTGGAGTTCCCTGACCCTGCCGCCCAGAAGATCTGCTTTGCTCTGCTCAGGAAGATCATCGAGGAGTGGGGCGCCTCTGAAGAAGCTCCCAATAACTTCGTAGACTTCATGTATAATCAGGTAACTCCTCGCTCGCTGAGACTGTGTAAATTCCTTCCAGCTATATGCATATTATTGGTTCTTTTCAGGAATTTTTGTTATATTTAAAATTTCTCGGAAAAGTAATGTTTGATATTCATCTGTTTTCTTCTGATATTTTATGCATTATAACATTCCTCCGATATAAAATTCAAGGTGAACTTTCAAGCCCTCGGGTTAAATGTTATGCAGCTAATTTAATCTAACCACCCGTTTTGTTTATCGCTCTCTATCGTGAACAATACTTGACGTTGGCACCGTAATCCTGAAGTTTGCGTGTACGCTGCATGTCTTGACATGACACTCTGAGAGGAAGTATGGTCTGTGCAGGTGGTGCCTGCTTGCTTCAGCGCGCCCCTGAAGACCACCTTCAACCTGAACGACGCTCAGACGACGCTGGCGCTGCAGGAGAGCGCCTCGTGTCTCAGGGAAATCCACAACGCACGAGGGGACGACCTCATCAAGTACCTCCGCGATGTCTACTTTCCTAAGGTCCATATTTTATTGATACACTTAATATTTCGAGCTCAACGTGGGTTAATTTTCATTGATTTTTTGTGGTCATTCACATTCCGTTGTCCATTGTTTTATGCTTAATTGAAATTGAATTTTCTTTTTTACTGTTGCCTTGGAATTGTTTATAATGGATGCAATTGCCTGGGGCTAAATTGTCAACGCAATTGTCAAATGCTAAGCTTGTTTTCCCCCCTCACAGATGGAACTCGCTCCTCACCTCAGCAACGAGTATTGCCACGCTCTTTCATCTGATGCCAAGTTCTTCAAAAATTATGTTAAAGTTTTCTTCCAAAGCGTCAAGTGATCCAAAACACATCCTAGATAAGCAATTTCGTGTAGACGACAAATAGATGATTTACAACCAATTATTTCAACGTATAGTATTTTTTACAAAGTTTTGCCACATATATGATAGCGTTCATCGAAGGTCGATAGGGATCTAGCAAACCAATCTCGGTTACCTACTCTGTACTGGATCGGTTACCTACTCTGTAAAATGTATGCAAAACCTAAATCTATACCTTTCGTGTTCTAATGTTGCTTTAATGAAACTCCTGTTGTGACGTAGAGTCCCATGACCCAAAATTAGTCACAATTGTTCGTTCTTGGTTGAAAAAGTTCTTCTCCTTTTATTCCTGCCTCTCCTCATTATCGAACTATTAGCAAAATAGCTTCACTATCGCAAGGAGAGTCTTCAGCCAATAAGTTCTAATGATGAATGGTCAAACATTCCTATTAAAGGCCTACTTACGCTCGTCTGCCATAAACATTTGTTCTCTTATGTTAGTTATTCCCGTAATTGTTATGTTCAGTCGTCAATTGTTTAGGTTGCACGGCATCGCAGGTAAAATACTTCGGTACGAGATGGTTTAGTGTAGTTGCTAAGTATAAAAATATGATAATAATGAACGTGAGACTTTTTAAATGAGAGAATGTTATTCACATTTTACGAGTTATTTTACATTCAATGCTTGTCATAGTTGACGCTGTGCATGTTGACGGTTCACGTCATTGTTTTTGTTCAAAAATTCAATGAATCTCACATTGAAAAGTACGTTCCAGTGATAGCAGAGGCTGTCCTTATAATCATTGAGCATTGATTTCTTGTTGAAATTCATATATAGCTCACCCTCGAGTCTCATTCACGTCTTAGATATATTTTTTCTCGTATTCCCTTTCTATTCCTGGCAATGAGTAACAATGTCGTAAGTTGCGACTCTCAAGAGTTCTGATAGCAATGTTTGCTGATGGCTGCGTTGATTGCGCCTTAAATGATACCGCGAACGCCGTTTATTTCTACACGGATTCATTCGACAATTTCGGTGTCAGGCACTCGGGGCAGACATGTGTAGTTTGAACGGGGAAGACCTGCAGAGGTTGGTCCGCTGATGGAATGGGAAGAGTGCTGGCCTCAGTATCTTCCGCATGATGTGGCGAGTCCATCGTCCAATTCTGCACAGTTTCTTCCATTATTGCTCGTTTCTGTTATAGATTTTTACTAATTTATTTTTTAACGGTATATTTCAAGAGTGGCTCTCAATTCTAGGTGAATGATTGTGGATGCCTAAAATGACTGTTTATTGCCTCTGGTGCGTTTCATATGCACTTGTGTAATTTCCTTAGGATACGAGAAATGTGATCAACGTTACTGAAGTGATTGAGAACTAGATCCGCCTTATCTGTAAATATTTATAGCCTCTCCGTAAGGAATAAGTTACATGTGTTTTCCAGGCTTTGATTATTCAATGAATTTATTGCAAAGTACTTGATTTCTTTTGTTTTTGTTGGGCATGTATTGGAATGTCCACATTATTAATTTGTGCGCACCACTAAAATTCAGCTTTCGCAGCTAATCTTCTACCAAAATTGCACTGTACATGGAAACTCCTAAAAAATGTAACTACTAACACCAGCAAAGATATTTTGTCGCCATGATAATCGTTCTATTGAGTGTTCATCCCAAATGACTGATTTCTTTTCAGCGCAACGATGTTGTATATAAGGACTGGGGAGTCCGCGAATGAAACGTAGACCTTAAATGGTCGTATCTTTTTATGTATAAATTATAAATGACGCATTCCTCACGGTAGCTTCTGGTACGTCATTGTGGCAGCGTTCGAGGTTTTTAGATTTTGTATCATTGTTATTCGGAGAGACTCGCCTCCGTTAGCTTGTGCACGAATGGGTGACGTATTTATTCTCATGAAGTAGCTATGGAAATTGCTATCAGGCAGCAAATTAACTTCAATTACTGGATCTTCCTGACTAATATGGCTTATTTCAGGCCTATACTGACGTGTTTTATGTGTAAGGAGTTTATTGAAAATTGCCCAGTTAATAAATACGTGTAGATTTGTTTCATTGAAATCTATCGTATTTCGCTGGCTCTTGAAAACATTAAGATATTTGGTGGCTCTTGGTTGAAAATCTATTCTAATAAATGAAGAATTTATTATACAATATTACCCGCGGTCAACGTCGCCTTCATGTTGCAGAACGTATTGACTCGAAATTGTTCCTGTACAACTTTTAAGCATAAATAACTAAGTTAAATTTATACCGCTAACGTCATATCGTCATAAATTTGTACCCAATTGAATATTCTAATGATCATAGCGATCATTTTTTACTCATATTCCTGCCTTTCTATCAAGTATCGCTGACAGCTATCACATTATGCTTGTATTGCAACAAGTTGAAGGATCCGTTGAGCGTATCACTCCCGCTCCACTTGAGCGCTCTTTACAGTGCACGAATTTTGCTCTCGTGTATTGCGTATGATCTTTGCTGGAGTTACGTCAATTACCGGGTACGGATAACTACCATTGCATAATCGTCTGCTGCATTCTTTCCGAATTTATGCGATGGTATCATTAGAAAGCAAGTTATCATCTGCATGCATTTAGATTTTCTGAAGAGTTTGAATGTAATATCGGGCAGCCTTTTAGCGGGATTGAAAGTATCTTTGAAATTAAGTCTTATGATCACAAATCCAGCGCTGTCAGATCTATATTTGACTAAAGCCTACAGTTCACGATATCGATGTATAAATACAAGATAAATAATATAAATTCTATAATATTATTGCGCATCTTTGAAGTTGGTGTACAGGATTGTTGTTTTAATTAAGAACAAGACTATGCTTTTGCCCTAATGTGGTAGGGAAGAGAATGGCATCACAACAGGTCTGTGGGGGCACGTCGTATCATAACAGGTCTGTGTGGGGCACCTCGCATCATAACAGGTCTGTGTGGGGCACCGCGTATCATGTTGTCTATGGAACATGTCAGTGTAGTCAATATTTTACTTTAATAAAGAATATGCGAGTTATTTATTCGGATCATTTCCCTTGTGACCGCGCCAGAGATCAGATGCACGCCAGGGACAGCTTGTTCGGTTGCTTCTTTAGAATTTTTTCCCCCCAAATTTTAAAATCCTGGCTCCATCTGAACAACGTGTTCGTTGGCGGACTGATAACGATGTAGGCTTTAAGGCTTCTAATCAAATGCTGCAATTCTTTTTACTATTTAGCTCGGATAGTATGCAGCTCAAGCTCTGAAGTTGACCTAGTCTTGTTTTAACTTATGCTAGCGATTGGGAGCTCAACTTTTGTTCCATTTCGGAGTTTCCCACAGTGCGGTACGCCAACACTTTCAGGGTCATGGACGACATTTGTTTTGCTATATTTACTCCTTGGAAATTTTCACAACTTAACGAGATAATGCGGCAACGAGTTGTAAACGCCGTCAGCCTGGTCGCTGCGGCTCACTGTCGAATTTAAGCTTTATATTAAATTGCTTGGCTAAAACGAAAAGAAATGCTTATGTGATTGTGATGGACCAATTCGCGTTACGTGAAGAGTACCTGGAGTGCACGGTGACTACGAAAGTTCCAGCGGTATGAGGGCATTAACAGAGCTGGGCAGCGCTACGTTGAAATGTAGCGGCCGCTACCGCTACATGCTCTAAATGTAGCGGGCGCTACCGCTACAATTGCTTAAATGTAGCGCCGCTACCGCTACATGCTCTAAATGTAGCGGGCGCTACCGCTACAATTGCTTAAATGTAGCGCCGCCGCTTCCACTACCGCTACTGAAAATGTAGCGGCCGCTACATGTAGCGCGCTACTGCCCACCTCTGGGCATAAATAGCTTGGAGAACACTTCTCTTTAATATTATTTTTATAGCTGCTTAGATGGCTTAACTAAATTTTAATATAAGAGACATGGNGTCACGTATAATTGACTTCAGATTAAGAATTTTCTGGATGAAGATCTTGGTTACTTGTGCGTTACTGGCGCTCTCATGACGGTTTACACATTGAAATTTTTGTAAATTAATGTATCTTTTATGATGCTCGAATATTCAAACTTCAAACCTTGAGTGAGAAGCCTAAGTGATAGTAAAAACTTTTAACCGATACCAAGTCTTTTCTCTTACTGCTCGTCTTTGCTCATCGCTTGAGCTTCATTGAATTGGTTCTGTTTGAACGGCCGCATCGTGAGACGCGCCGTGCTGCAAGCTGCAGCAATGTACAGAGCGGCTGCCGTGCTGCTTGCTGCAACATTGTGCGCAGCAACTCGACTTGTAACGGCAACAATTGGGATGAATGGCAGGCAGCGTCTTGATGCTACTATCCGTCATGGATAAAAAATTTGTATTTTGGTCCCTGAAATCCGTATGACGGTCACACCTGTTCGTGTTATTGCTACGTTGTTCCGCCACGTGAGCGGTCAATGACTGGCGTTCTGTCTTTGCATTGCTGACCACAACGCAGCTCCCCAATTCTCCTTCAATTTGTTCTTGTCCTGCTTGGCCTGTCAATTCATCCTTCGATCCTGTCTCTGGAAAACTATTTGGCCGTTTTTCGAGCCCTGAGACTAATTCACTCTGGGCGGTATGTGCTCGTCGGCGGTCTTGCTGGCCATCAGACTCGTCGCTGTCGGCGTGGCGAATATCCCTGGCACTCCCTGCGAGCTGGTGCGGCCTCTTATCACTTGATGTCTTTCTGTAACGGAAAAATCGGTACGTTTTCCGAGTTATTTATTCAAGACTTTACAATTCATTCGGGCGATCAGCGAAATTTTTCATCATGAATGTGCGTCATCGACATTGAAAATCAAATAATTTTATTTCACACAACACAAAGAATGTTTAGCACAGAGAACCCCATTTTCACTCTATGAAACAGCGCGAAGTATCGAGTATTTTGTAACTCCTTTTGGCCGAGAATTAGTCTACAAGGAAGTTTTTAAATACGCGCATTGTCCCACCTGTAGTTTCCACCGGAGTTGTGTGCTGCATCAAGGTAAGTTCCTTCAGATCTGTTAACGCTGTTCGATAAGTAGGGGAACGCGAGGCACGAACAGTTCGGCAATTCTGAAGGATTTCCAGCAGTTGTATTGCTCTTCCAGCGCTCTTTCGGCGAGTATGAACACAGCACAGCGCTTGGCTGAGCTTCATCGGGACTTACGAGGAACTCGAAGTTGTTCAGCGGGACAAGGTTCTGGTAACAAGATGCTAATGCCGTCGATATGTCGGGAGCTCTGCACAGACTATCTTCCCAGTCTTCCTGTAATTAGTGTTCAATTAAACAAATGGATTCAGAAAAATTAACATTTTAGAAACGCCATAAATTGCTACATAAGAAATTAGTAAACAACTGGCTCAACCCGCCGAACTTTAATATACGGAATTTGCAAACATTCCTGTTAAACAACTACCTATCACTGCACTGTTATTCGTCTTTCATACTAATTTTTAGGAGGAGAGCAATATTTTTGTCAGAAATTTCAATGTTGGCAAGCTTAAATTAAAAGTAGATATAAAACTTAATCGCTTTTTGCTTATCCTTACTTTGTGCCAATAAATGAATAGCATGATCAACGAGAAACCCGCTAGTTCTGAAGAGGAGAAGGCAACGATCATGAAGATGAAGTTGCAGCCGTAGGAGTAGACGAAGGGCGCCGGGGTGTGGATGCTCCTGGGCCAGAGTTTGTGCCAAACTTCTCCTTTCAGGGTTGAGATGTACATCACGCATCCCATCATCATCAACAGGCCTGAGTTAAATAAATGCTGTGCATTATTAAGACGCATTTTTCTATAAAACAATGGAAATAACTGGGAAACACAATTTTTTAGCCTTTTTCAGACAAGGTTTAGCAGTAATTATTATGCCTGAGGTGATCTTACCGCTGAGATTCATTGGTAGAAGTTATATTGTGCGAAATTAGCTACGAAAAAATTGTTAACACATTCATGTACAGACAATAAAAAATTTACAAATTTTCATTACATATATCAAAACAACAAGCCTACATTATCTCTTGGAAAACGATTAAAGTTCACTAATAATATTCATTGCCGTAGGCTGAATCCATAATTTTGATTCATCTATGCTGTGAATGTGACATACTTCATATGTTCTAACGTGTTCCCGACATGATGCTACCACCAACACGGTTTGTACTGTCAACAAAGACAGTCCAAGGCCTGGCCAGCGCGCTGTTGGTCCTTTGTTTTTATCCTTTGTCTCGCATTGATTTTTACACAAGCTTTTGTAGTTATATTACAGTCCATTTGCCGTAAAGGTTGAACTCATTGTGGACAGAAAATTGCGACAGGACTGCAAAGTCTCAAAACACATAGAATAGAAGTGTCGGCGTTGAAGAAATAGGCCCATGGCCTGTTGCCGATTCTTGAACTTTTCGTGACTTGATTCACAAGGGATCCGGCCTTTGGAACCCGATCTTTCCATAACTGACGATTGATTGAGATAGCTGCTGGACTTATTGCCTGGTCCGTAATTTGCTAGGCATTTTAAGACTGAACATATGCTCCTGCATAGCTTCGTCTAGTCTGTTTTTGAAGATGTTCATACTCGGAGCTTCAACGATGCTATCAGGGAGGCTGTTCCACATGTCGGTGACTCGAAGCGAGAAGAAATGTTGTCACAAGGTGAAAGAACAAATAAAATTAATTGGTTGCCATTTTTTGATTATTGTATCTAATAGTTCTATATGTTTGCCTGTCCGAATTCTTATGTCAAGCAATAGATTCTTAATAACTTTCAAACTTGGTTTTGCTTAATCGATCAATTTGGATTTCAAGTTGGTTATGCTCAACTCAAATGTGCGTCTTACACATTTCATCTTACTCTATAGTGTACAACATTGATGTCATGAAAAATATCACTGTTATTTAACACTCTATACTACTTTTGAAGTAGCTTGAGGAATTTTGTCTATATTGTTTATTCATGATGATCAGCGTCTCCGCACACGAGGTTCGGGACATGACATTGTGATCCCTACAGCATCTAATCAGCCTTTCCTCTTGGCGTCATGAGGCCAGTCAGGATAACGGCCATGAACAAAAGCGACCTTGCACTCTAGCAACGAAAATGCAAACACCTGACCGTGGACTATGAAGAAGGCTTCGGCAACAAAGGTGCAGACTCCTGACCTTGGATTATGAAGGCGGCTCCGGCAACGAAGGTGCAGACGCCTGAACTTGGATTATGAAGGCAGCTCCGGCAACGAAGGTGCAGACTCCTGACCTTGGATTATGAAGGCAGCTCCGGCAACGAAGGTGCAGACTCCTGACCTTGGATTATGAAGGCGGCTCCGGCAACGAAGGTGCTGACGCCTGACCCTCGTCCTCTGACTTGCCCCCACAGCCACAGCACCTCAGCCACCACCAGCACCCCACTCCCCACAAGGAAGAAAGGACTTGACCGAACTGCAGTATCTGAACCAAAAAGTTATATCCTGATATGTAATATTCCCCCAAGATATATTCAAATATTGTACTAGTTTCAGAGTTGATTTCAAGAAACTTAAATGTAACTTAAACACCTTAAATAACTTATATATAACTTAACAACTCATAAGCCCAATAACCCGTAAAATATATTAATTTTTTAAAATTGAAATACACAAGCGCTAAAACTGCTTAGAGAATTCAATAGTAGATGGAAGACTGGTGGAGATATGGTTATGCCATTAATAATATGATGGTTACCTCATATAATTTATTATCAATTTTTACATAGTTTTATGACTGCTTCACAGCTTCACTTAATATTTAAGGATTAGGTTCTATTGAGTACTAAGTCCTGTTGAGTGCTATATAAAACTACTACTCAGTAGTTCTTTGAGGATTGTACCACAAGAGAATTATTCTACATAGCAGAACTGACAGGCGATGGAGAGCGTCGCGTCGTTAGGGTCGAGCCAAAGATTAGGTTCTATTGAGTACTAAGTCCTGTTGAGTGCTATATAAAACTACTACTCAGTAGTTCTTTGAGGATTGTTCCACAAGAGAATTATT